TGCTACAATGGTTCTCACCTGTGAAGAGGCAGAAGCACCACTTTGCAGAACATTATTCCAGGCCTCTGTGGCATCAGCACAAGTCTTGCCAAATATACACGAATTACCTAAGCCCTGAATGTAAGAATTAAGGTCTTCAGAATATACGAAGAACTCTACTCCCAAACCAATAGACAGCCCTTTAAAAGACAGGGGAATCGCTAGGCAGTGACAGGGAATATGGTGATCAGCAGGTGTTCAGCCTCACTGGCAACTGGAAGGACTGAGAATGTTTGGTTGTGTATTTCAGCCTGGATATAAAGAAATTGTGTGTTCCTACACTGCTGTTTGGGAGTAGGAAGGGTATTGATGCAGCTCCATTGAATGACAATTTGGCAGTTTTCTTCTTAAAAACAAACAAAAAAACCTATGACCTGGCAATTTGCCTTCTATGCAGCTCCCTGGAGTAGTAGTATGTTCCAGGAACTTAGGCAGAAATGTTTCTGAGAGACTATTAGCAAAGTGTTGGTGGTCCCTTGGAGGTCTTTCCTTGAGATGTGTTCTGTTGATTTGTGAGCCAGATCTATGTGGAGCCACATGGATGAAGTTCCAGTGGACATCCTTGACTAGAAGAGGCCAAACTGTGTGGATTGTGTGGTAAAAGCACACACACACACACACACACACACACACACACACACACACACACGCTTGCTGGGGAATTTCTCTGCTTGGCTTGTTTAGTAAGGTATAAATTTTAAAAGTCTGGAAGGGTCCCCACCTAACAGTGGTTTTCTCAGGGGAAGCAAAAGACTTTGAGGTAGAAGATGCTGGCAAAACTTTCACTCTATGAAATGCTTTTAATTTTTGTTTTTTAGATAACATTATAGTTCATCTTGCTTGGGCACAGGAAGGAAGGCATGGATGTGTGTGTCACACCCTCATTTTACAAAGATATGATGAATGTTGTGGCTCTAGAGGTTCCTGGAAGGTTGTGAACACTGCCTGTCATCCTAAAGTTGGGCCAAGGCTTAAGCAGTTTGCTGAGTCCCCATAGGCAGGCAGCCTGTTTTTTCTTCCAGTCTCAAGGGACAGAATCCAGAGGAGGATGGGAAAGTCTTTACTCATCTGGCTCAGGGATATAGTTTGGCATTCTCCTTTCTGTTCAGAGCACTGCATGTTGGCTCCTGGGTCCAGTCTGTTCCATCTTTTGTTAATGACCATTTTGTCTGTGCCACAAGATCTCTGTATTCTGAATTGTTTATACAGCAGCCTTCTTGGCATGAGGCGTGAGCTTGGGTGGCCAGCTCAGTGCAGTGTGGTGCGGTAGGAGTGAGGCTGCCACATATAGAGCCACAGAAGGCTGGATCATAGGTCTGTCTGTGGAGCCAAAGTTGTGAGGGTAGCTTGCCCACCAGAGAGCCCACCTTACTGCTGCACAGCCACAGCCTCCCTGAAACAGCTTTGTTACTGTTTTTCAGCCTTTCCCTATATTGCTGTCATCAAAGGAAATGTGATTCACAGGAGATAGCATCAGACAGCATTCCTTCTAGGCCTCTGGCCCTTCCATTTCTCTCTGCCTCGTCCTAGAGCTAAGAGATGTCCACTTAGGGCCAAGCACTCAACAGTCCCTTATTCTCAGCACTTTGACCAGTTAGGAGCCTCTGCAGAGGCAGGAGTTAGAAGACAGGGATATGTTACCATTATGAGATGAGTTTGGGACCTGCAGCTTGCAGCCCTCAAGATATCAATAAGAAGTGTCCCAGGATCTGATGGGGCTGTTCCTCTTCCTCCAGACTGTCCCTTGGAGTGTTTGTTAAGTCTGGAAAGATGAATGAGTCTTTGCCAAGTGAGCAGTTTAGTGTTCTTGGAGGCAGTGAAACTTGGTGAAGTTGTATTTTACTTTGAGTAAAGTAGAAAAACATTAAAGTTTCTACTGAGCATATCTCCACTAACAACTCCCTGTCCTTCCCTCTGTCTGTTTCTCATGCAGGCCAATTACACAGACCCTCAGAGCAAACTGCGGTTCAGCACCATTGAAGAGTTTTCCTACATTCGAAGGCTGCCCTCTGACGTGGTCACAGGCTACCTGGCCCTGAGGAAGGCCACGAGCATCGTTCCCTGATCCTGAGAAGTGGGGATGTAGTAGGAATGGCCTCAAAAACAGATTCTGCACTTGTGATATTTTTTCCTGGAAACAGACGTGTTCTGCTGTCAATCTGAGAGTGGCAGCTCTGTGCCTTGGAAAGAATGTCTGGCTTTGCCATGAGGGTTTTTCTGGTTTTTATTTTCCTCCAAGTGTGGCGTTCCTCTTTTAAATCATACTTCAGTTGTTGCCTCAAGTAAACATTGTTTGATAAGAAAATACAGTAAAATTATGCATTTAAATTAACTCAAGCAAGTCCCTGAATTTTGTTTGCAAGTTGTGAACCCTCTTGCAACATTTTCAAAGGATGTGCAATGAAGACACAGATCTGGATTGTCCTGGAGCCTAACAGGCATGCTGATCCCTCCCTGGATCCAAATGGATTGTCCTGGAGCCTGGGGAGCATGCTGACTGCTCCCTGAATCAGAATGGATTGTCCTGGAGCCTAGAAAGCACCCTGGCCCCTCCCTGAATCAGAATGGGTTGTCCTGGAGCCAAGCAAGCATACTGTCCGTTCTCTGGACCAGAAACTTCTGTCTGTCTGTTTTCTACTGTGCTGTCAGGGAGTTTTGAAACTTTGAATGACTACCCATCATGGCATGCCTGCTGGTGATTTGTCTCTGCTACATGGTGAATTGAGGCATTGGATTCCAGTGTCCAAAGGATAAATTCAGCTCTTAAAAGGAAAAGCAATTAGCTAGATCAACGAAACATTTTGGAGGCTTAGCAGTTAAGATCACTTGTTGCTTTTGTAGAGGACCCAAGTTTGATTCCTAGCACTTACATGGTGACTCACAACCATCTCTAATTCCAGTTCCAGGGCATCCAATACCCTCTTCAGACCTCTAAGGACACCAGGTGTACACATACATACACACAGGCAAACTCTCATACATACAAAGATAATATAAATATTTTTTTAATTGTATTTTCTTCTTAAGACCACACTGATATCCACGCTGCTCTGATGTGAGTTCTAACTAATACATGCTGCATGTCTTCACTGTAAGAGAGGAGCCACGAGGTACCTTAGAGTGACCAGAGTATTAGAGATGCACCTTGCGGAGCTGGGTGTGGAAGACCGTGTCACTATAGATACTTTGTTTGCAATGAAGTGCCTGGCAAGAAGGAATCCATGTCCATTGCTGTGGGAAAGACATGACAGCAGGAGCATGAGCCAGATGGCCACACTACATCCATGGTCATGAATCAGAGAACAGACAAGATGCGAGGCTAGACTTTACCACCTCAGGGCCTGCCTCTAGTGACCCTCTTCCTCCAGAGGGGCTCTACCACCGTGGTACAACTCAGCAGCCTTCCAAAACTGTACCACCCACCACTGGACACCAAGTGCTCAAACATATTTCACATTCAAATCACTGCACCATGTCCTCCGAGTTAGAGCATGTGTCCACCCAGACTTCAAGTGTGTTTTGTGACTGATGATGACACCTAGCAGAGGGCCAAACTATTTCCCACCAGATGACACTTTTCTGAACCCATGCCTCTTAGGAAGAGGCATTCCATCATCAAATAGCACAGGTGCCTATGGAGAGGTCACAAATGATGTCTTCCTCATGAAACAATGTTATTTCCAACAATGTTCTCATCTGAGAGAATTGAGAGCCTTATTTGGATCCTGGTTCAAACAAAAAAGCTTAAAATGTTTCCAAGACAATTATAAACTTGATAGATTTTGATGTATGAAGATATGGAGGAATATGTATGAATACTTTTAAATCAGAATACTGGTATCATAATGTTAAAGGAAAGCGTTCATATTTTAGAGACAAAGGCTAAAACATTAATGGACAGAGCAATATGATATCTGGGATTTGTTTCAGGATGATGTGGAAGAGAGGAAATGGACAGAAGTAGTGTTGAAACAAGATTGGCTGCAAGTCAACTATTGTATACTAAGTACACGGAAGTTCGCTACACCGTTCTACTCTGTATTATTTGAATTTCTCCACAATAAACTTAACAAGGATGTGGCATTTTTATTACTAACAGTTGAAGCGAGGCCATCTTTGCTCTGCTGTCTTGGAGTCAGGGAATGGTATGGGTTAGCTTTCTGTTGCTGTGACAAACACCTGAGAAAGTTAGCATACTCATGATCCAATCACCTCTCAAGTGAGCCACCATCCGGGAACCAAGCCTTTAATGCATACACTTTTTGTGGGAGTGGAGGTATTAGCAGCTTCTTGAGTACAATTAAATCCTATGAGGCAGGGTTTGGAGTGCATCCTGATGGCTTTCTGTGGCTTGGGCAAACACCTGTCAATTGTATTCGTTACAGAAGCTGCACGTAGGGTCTGGAATCTGTCAGCACAAATCCAGCTGTTCTGTCTACAGAACTTCCCAGACAGCTGAGCAAGGGATAAGGCAGAAAGAGACAAACTGATATATTCAGAACATTGTGCTCAGTGTCTGGCCTTGTCCCTGAAAAGAATTTTTCTTTAGAAAGGCCAGAAACTCATCTTTATCTCTAGCTAGCAGTTTCCTTCCATTTGTTGTCAGGAGAGATAACAGTCACCATGGCCTGGGCTGGCTTGCTGCAAAAAACCCTTGTAATATTCCACACTGCAAAACCCCAGGTGGCACTCACCAGCGTTCATCCTGCAAGCATGTGGGAGGAAGTTAGATCTTCAAAGCACTAAGCACAGGCAAGCTGTTGGGGTGAAAGGAACTGTTGTTCCTCAACTGCAGCTGGGCTTGTACCTTACTAAGGAAGGGGGAAGACGAGACACAACCCTATGGAGACCTGTCATAGTTAGGGTTTGGTGCTGTGATGAAACACCACGACCAAGGCAACTTGGGGAGGAAAGGGTTCATTTCAGTCTACACTTCCGGGTAACAGTCCACCACTGAGGGAAGTCACAGGAGGCCGGAGTTGATATGAAGGCCACAGAGCAGTGCTGCTTACTGGCTGGCTCCCCATGGCTTGCTCAACCTGCTTTCTTATAGAACTTGGACCATCAGCCCAGGGAAGGCATCACTTACAATGGGCTAGATCCTCATCCATCAATCACTAATTAAGAAAATGCCCCACAGGCTTAGCTACAGTCTGACCTTATGGAGGCATTTTTCTCAGTTTGAGGTTCCCTCCTTTCAGATAACTAGCTGTGTCAAGTTGACATAAAAACTAGCCAGCAGAGATACCTATTGTGTCTGCTACAGAAAAAGCATGCATTCCAGGGTCTCCTACTGCCCCACAAGGTGAGTTTTTTGGCTCATCACTCAGACCTGGGCTTGAGTTACATTTTGTTCCACTTGTACAACAGACCAACCCTGTGGTCTATACTTGTTTCTAGTTCAGTCTTAAATTATTAATCCTTCATAAGATGCTCATCCTGATAGACTCAAACAGGAGTAGGGTCAAACAGAAAATTCAGCAGAAGGTGACACTCAGTCCCTGAGGTTTGGCTGGGATCTCCCACCTCCCTCAGCCTGCATCAGAAAACTGGGTCCTTCCTGACCTGAACCTTCTCAACTGTGTTTCTCATTCCTCTTAGATGGGTACTTGTAGTCCACAGGTGGCAACTGGACATCCCATGACAGAACTCTCCACAAGCTTGTCTCTATCGGTTCTATCAGTTCTTACTGCTTAGATTAGACACGCACTCCACCTTTTATTCTGTGTATTTTGACAAGCCAGTTCTTTTTTATGGCTCAAAAGAAGAAGTAGATGAGCAGATAAGTAAATAATTAGATGGGGTTGAGGATGTCGCTTGGGTGGCAGAGTGCTTTGCCTAGGGCGCTCAAATCCTAGAGTTCATCCCCATTGCTACAGTGACACACCTATAATCCCAGCAGTTGGGAGGTAGAAACAGGAACTCAGAAGTTTAAAATTCAGCTCCAACTACATAGTGAGTTTGAAGCCAGCCTGGGCTAATGAGACCCTGTCTCAAAAAAAAAAAAAGAAAGAAAGAAAGAAAGATGGTCTATAACTGAGACCAGGGAGGAATGAGGCATGGTGGGTGGAGAACAGAGACACAGAGAGCAGAGACCCTGCAGAGTCAAGCTCAAGGAACCCAGGAAAAATGCTTGCTAAACCTCTTCACCATCCTTAGTTCTTTATGTCTCCTTTGGTATTCCTTGTGTATCCTACTATTGTCTGTTCCCCATGGATAACAGGCCATAAATGCTTAAAAGCAAACAAAAAAATGAGGACTAGTCTGCTTGTGTTGGTGACTGGTTAGGGTGGAGACAGGGAACCCTTCCTACTGTAAACACAGGGCTCCTGGATCCACCTGGGTTTCTTCCATGACTCAGTGGCCTCTGTTCCAACTGCAGACAAAGCCCTTCCTGGAAGAGTCGATGTTTTCCTGGCCTACAGGATGCTGGCTGCTGACAGGTGCACAGTGATCACCAAACACAGCTCTCTTCACAGGGGTCAGAAGATGAGTCACATCCACCAGCCTGGTGACTTGGAGTCTTGGCTCTTTCCACCATGCACGTGGCCCAGGGTTGTGCAGCGATCCAATCAAGACCTTGGCGAGTGATATCTCCCCTAATAACAACTGGGAAGGAAACTGGTAACTAGAGATAAAGAAGAGAGATTCTGGTCTTTTCAAAGAAAGAGTCTATCCAAAGACAATACCAGACCCCGATGACGCTGCCTCAGAACATTACATCTGTATAGTTGCCCACACTTTTTGCTTGACTGTGTGCTAGGTTTTGCAGAGAAACTGTAACTGGAGGATCTGTGCGCTGAGCACTTATTCGCCTTTCTGTGACAGAAGCAGTCACAGGGACATTGGGTCATGCACACAGGAAACATGGACCGCGCCTGCCTGGGGCCTCTAGGAAGGAGGAGAGGTAGGGAGGGTGTGTGCTGACTGTACAGGACCCCACCACCCATCCCAGCCTCTTCCCTTCACCGTGGTGCAGTGCAGCACCTAGGTGCTCTTCAGGTGTGGACATCATGGTCTTCCAGCCTCAGGGCCAGGAATACAGTAAACTTCTGTTGTTGATAATTTACTCAGTATATGGTGTTCTGATATAGCAGCAGAAGACAGATCATCATAAATGCCATTTTATAGTTTAAAAAAAAGTAAGAAAATATGAGATGGTTTATGTCAAAGACATCATAGGTGAATCCTAGGGAGGATTGTTTGGGGTGGGAATGGCAAAGAAGATAAACTTAAATATTTGGAAAGAGAGAGACAAATTTGACTTAGCTCAAGGCTAAAAGATGGCTGATGTTTTTCCCTAGAACTTGGGCTCACATACTTGTGCGGGACCCCTCCCTTTGACTGCTTCACTCCATTATCCCAACATATGGATGGGTCTCAAATCTATTGAAAGCCTACAAAAAGAAAAAGAAAAAGAATGAGGCCCCAGTGCCTTACAGTAATGTGTCACTCCGCTCTGTTTCCTGAGGAACCCTGACAACACACTTTCTTGGCAGGGAAGATTGGGTAGATACATTTAATTAAACCCACTTTTCACTGACATTACCAGGCCTAGCAGTGGGTCTCACACATCATATGTGCTTTGTAAATTTCCGGGGTAAAAATCTAATTACAAGAGCGAAGATATTTGATGTCTCTGTCAGCTGTGATTTTTTTTTTTTTTTTTTTTTGATGGTTGCTTTGTTCCTTTAGGAGTCGATGAATCTAATGGAACTTTGATGAACCTGGTGGGCCAGAGCGGGGAGCAAAAGGCAATGAGGTTCTTTTCACTTCTGAAGATTTTCTGACCCATTGTCATTCCAGAAACACTAGTTTTTGTTTTGCCTTTTAAATCAAAGTAATGGGAGATGAGAGGCTGGGGAAATGGCTTGGTCGGTAAAGTGCTTGCTGTACAGGCACAGGGACCTGAGTTTGAGCTCTAGCACCCAGCCAAAGAGTGACTGGGCACACCTGTAATCCTACTGCTGGGAGGTGGAGGCAGGAGAATCCCTGGGGCTTTCAAGTCAGGGAGTCCAGCAGAATTGTGGAGCTTCAGGGTCATTGAGAGATTCTGCCTCAAAAATAAGATGTAGAGTGATAAAGACACCTGATATCAACCTTTGGCCTCCACGCACAGCCACATACACTCCATTTGCTCATGCACACAACCGAACGTCTGTGCACACATAAACATGCACCTGTCCGTGTACACACACATACATACACAATCAGAGTAAGCTGGGTCTGAAAGGGCCAGAAGATGAGCTGTAAGGCAGGCAGTACTGTTGTAAGTATGCTGCGTCTCTTGATAGGCAGCTCTGAAGGAAGCGCCCAGCCCCATTCTGTACTTGGTGACAACCAGGTTCTGTTGGTTGCTTTTGTAAGCAGGTCACATGCTGTCTCATCAGTACTCACGGAATTGCTTCATTATTAACCATGAAGGGGGCAAGTCTTGGGGACAGTGGTCCACCCACCCAAGCTACATGGGGGTGGTGGATCAAGCCTGTGCTGAGGCCTCTGGGAAGGGAGAGTTGTCAGGAGAAGTGTGTTGGCTCCTCTGGCCTCCCCACCCTACCGTCCTCATCATTTCTGAAGAGCAGATCCTGATGAAGACTTGCGATTTTGCATCATTGCTTCATGGTTCTCTGAACTGCATTCTGGATATGGAAGAGTGTTTTTTAAGTCCCACAGACAATTCTTGTCTAGTATCTGCTGAAACTTATAAGTTGGATCCAACGTCACATTGCTTTTTCACATCATGGCAAGCTCATTTTCTGTCTCTGTCACCTAGAGCAGCCAGATAGTTCAACACTCAGGTCAGCAATTGCCTTCCTGGAAACCTTCCATGTCCCCTCCCTGACCCTGCCAAACTCCCAGGGATCTCCACTCCATAGCTGCCTTGTTCTCTATGTTGAGACCCTCGTTGTCTGGGAGACTGGCTCCCTGTAGACTCTGAATGCAGGAGAATTCTAGAAACATCTCCCAGTTTCGGTGGTACACACCTGTCTTCCCAGCACTTGGAATGTACAGGCAAGAGGACCAGGAGTTTAAGCTTATCCTCAGCTATATTCTGGTCTCAGAGCAGTCTGGACTTCATGAGACAGTATATCAAAA